TTTCAAGGGTGAGGTCTTCTCTGTCACATGCTAATTGTAGGTGTCATTACAGGGGGGCTGTGTTCTCCTCCCATCCCATGCCAAGCACCTCCAAGGCATCACAGAGCAAAACCTTAGCAGTGTCTGAGCAAAGAGGGAGAAACCATCCATGGCTGGACCCAGCAAGGGTAACACCTTCCTGTGCTGCATCAGCAAACCGTGGATGAGCCCACATGCCTTCCACCAGTGCAGGGAGGTTGTGGCGTCGTACAAAAGCACTTTGTTTTGAAGGGGCAGCATCCCGCTACAGCTGCATCCCTGCTTGAAGGACCGCGGTGCTGGGGACGTCCATTGGTGCAGCTCAGTGCTCCTCTCCCACGGGTGGGAGCAGGGGTCAGAGGAAGAAGAGTGCTGATACTGTTTTAATCTTCCTTTTAACTGTAATTGCGTTTGGCTGGCTCCCCCGAGCTTGTTCCGGGAGATGCATTTTTCCCGGCTAGATTGCTTTCCTTGTTTTGCTCATTGGAGACAGGCCGGGGCCTGTGTCATGCCAGCTATGCATTAATAGAGCCTCAAATGAGATTTCACAGCCTCAAATCTGATTAACACCGAGGCTCCGGTTGCTTTGGAAAGCAGGGCAGACAGACGAGGAGCCATGATGCTTGTGGGGGGTGCAGAACCATACGGATGTGGGCTGTCAAGATGTACCCTAACACCCCGGGCTCACAGGGACTGACACAGAGCCTGGGGATATGGGAACAGCAGGGCACAGGGCAGCTGGGATGTAACACATCTCCCACCCCCTGAAAACCATGAATTCAGGTGCTACATTGTCCCTCATGCAGCGTGTTTGGAGAAGGCTGGCCTGGGTGAAGCAGCTGCAGCTACTCACCCATCAGACACCGAGTCCTTGCTGTAAGCCCATATTTCACCCATTTTTACTGCCTGATGATGTGTAAAATCCCCCTCCCCATGCCTGTGCCCGGAGGTGAGTGCTTGCTCACTGCTGTGATAGAGACCATCGGCTTTTAGCTGGCTGTTTGCCCATGTTATGGGGAGATGCTCTGTGGCATCCCAGGGGCTCTCGGTGTGCTCTTACATCCCAGAGCCCTGAGGTCCAGCCCTGAGACCTGCTAGGATGTCCCAAGGAACACCTGGGGACCCATTCCCCTGGATCCAGGGTGTCCTGGCCTGGCTCTGGGATGTCCTGGCCATGCTCCAGCCCTACCATGCATTCAGACCCCCCGTGACACAGCGCTGGAGGTGTAACCTGTGGCCTGATCCTGCTGCTTGTTTAAAGCCAATTGGCACTTTATTTCCCAGCCTCTCGGCTGCCAGGGGAGGGGAAGCGGCTTGCTGGTGTTTAGCTGCCATAAGGAAGCTTGAAAGGAGCCTGGGGAGACATCACATAGGAAAACTCACACCAGCCCCAGTCCATCTTCGTTCATGGAGCCTACTATTATTTTATGAAGTCTCAGGAGGAGGATAAAGCTGACACATTCCCAACAGCCGCTCATAAATTGCAGGGGTAGGGAGGAGCTCAGGGCTGCGAATGTTCCCACCGTAGAGGAGCGGATACCCGCTCCCGTGGCAGCATCGCTCCTGGCTGTAGTCGGTGCTGGAGAGCTCATGGGACTTACTACGAAGGATCAGGAGGGTCCTAAACCTTCCATGGTAGGGGCTGGTGTCTTCTTCTCCAGAGCAGCAGTGCATCATCCCAAGGAGCACTGGCAGGGCTGTGTCTGGGGTTGAGGAGGTGAACGCTGCAGATGTACAGCCCCAGACGCTCACATCTGGTCTTGTGCTGTCCAATGCACTGGTGAAATCAAACCTGAAGGAGCATTCTGCAAGCACCGACCTTCTGCCAGGGGAAAATGCAGCTGTGGTCTCCAGCTGTGGGCAGGGGCCAAGCCAGGACGGAGGAGTCCCTGTCCCGCTGCAGTGCCATGCCTGGAGGTCCCTGCTGGCTCCCAGCCCGGGCTGTCCTCCCCGAACTAAATGCTGGGCTCTTGAGGCTATTTATGTCTTGTCAGCTCGCAGCAAGAAGCAATTTAATCTTGGCTGAGAGCTGCTGTAGAGGAGCTGCCTGGGCCCCGATGCTTCTTTCGAGATGATAAAGAGTTGATAGAAAAACAAATTATGATCATGGCAACTCAGGCACCGTTAATCAACCTCCCCACAACACTGCAGTGTGAATAATTAATAGTAATCGTTAAGGATGCTTTAAGGGTGGCATGGGGTTAAGGTGCTGCATGGGATCAGGGCAGAGGATTGTGTGAGATGCTCGAGTTGCTCTGCAAGAGTCAGTGATGCTACAAGTGACCTCAAAATATTTTAAACATGTGTCCCCAGCTGAGACCCCTGGGGACATGGGAACTTCATTTTTTCTCTGCCTCTTAGATGTTACAGGTTTCAAACTCCTGGGCGAGAGCACTTGGCTTGGCAGGGATGGGGAAGTTTTTCTTCCCACTGAGTAAGAGCTGAAAAACAAGCGTGGGCTCTACCTGGAACTGCAGGCACCCTCCTTTCTGGAAGAAATACTGAGTTCCCTCCTGGCTTTGAATAGTGACTGGGGTTTTTTTTCAGTAGTTAATCACAGCCTTGCTGAGGGTTTTGGGTACCAGTTGCCTGTAAAGCCTGGCATTGTTCATGCCTGCTATTTTTAAAATGTTTTGTTCTCTTGCTGAGTTTTACTTAGCTTAACGGCTTGTGAATTTTCTATTAAAACCCCTTGCTAATTATCATGCTGTAACCATTGTTGGCAGTAAAACCTACTTGGCTTTTTAGGGAGATATAAATATAAGTGGTGGGTACAAAGATGTGTGCTAAGAAACCTGCTTCTGTTACCTCGAATGTGAAAGAAAATAGGGAAAACATAGGAAAAGTCCCAAAATAATGATCTGGATCTGTAAATAAGGGTGTGGTGTGGGACACCGATCCGGCACCGCAGCTTAGGTCCTGGGGTCCCCCAGAGCAGGACTCTATCAGCAAGCTCGGAGGTGTCTATGCATTTCAAAACAAGGTTGTTTCCCAGATCTACCAGATGGAATTCCTCTGGATGGGGTTTTTAATAAGTATTTGGGGTGAAGTAAGTATTTGGGGTGAAAATGCTCACTAAAACTCCAGAGCTGGAGCCTGAAAAGATGCTTTCTTGAAAGGAGAGAGGAGTCTCCAGGAAGAGCATCCCTGCCTGCCCTGCACACTCATTTGTGCATCCTGCCTGCAAACCTGGTCCCCTGCCTCTTTGAAGCCCCCAGCCATCCTCGCCCTCCCTCGGTGACCTAATTTGTGTTGATATAGCCCAGGGCTCTTAAATAGTCTGCACTTTCCGCCTCCTTTCCCCAGGTCATCCCACAGTTTTCCTGCCCTCTTTGCCAATGCTGGATGGGGCAAAAACATGATGATATTTTTAGAATAGTGTTTATTCTCTTCCACATCCACCCCTTCTTCCTTCCTCTGGAAAAGCTTTGGGAAGGTGTCAGGACTTGCCGTGCTGTGATTTTGGGGGCGCAGGGAGAGCTGAGGTGCTCGGGCAGGGTGTGGAGCAGCTCTGGCCACCAGCAGGGAGACCCTGTATCTGTGCAGAGTGACATCTGACATCAGGCCAAGAAAGCCTGTAATTTCCCCTCTCCATCAGCATCGCTGGGCAGGGGGGATAATTGTCACAGAGATGGAGCCTGGGGTGGGATTGAAATCCTTCCCCGCCATCCACTCTGCAGGTCAGGGAATCCTCCCCCACTTTGTGTTTCTGTTCCTTCGGTGCCGCTTTCTGGCTGTCACAGATGCCGAGTCTGTCCCCAGCACCCAGCCCCAAGCTCCAGCTGGCTTCTGAGCTGACAGCAACAAAATAAGGGGTGGGGGGGTGGGGGGGGGAAGCAGATTTAAATGTTTTTCCAGGCTGCTGGTGGTCAGAGCATCCAGGTTTCCATCCCACAAGTGATCCTCAGGTTTGGGTTGGTAATGCCCCAGGGTGGCAGGTCACTTCCCTGCTGAAAAGCCCATCACCACTGCAGCTGGGTGGCCTCAGGAGAGATGAGGGAGAGGGCTTAGGATGAACCAGCCCCTCATTACAGAGTTTGGAGGTGAAGCCACGTGTCGGAGGGGATTTGCAGGCAGTGACTTTGAGAAGCCCACGGGGTAGTTGCTGGGCTGGAACTCTTGCTTCAACCCCAGGAGGTGGAAAGGATGCACGAAGGGTTTGCTTTGCAGGGTCTGAAGCCGTGCAGGGTGGGTTTTAATCCCTTGTAGCCACAGCACTATGCAATATCAGATGCATTAATTCTGCATGCTGCCCAAGACGGTGCCACGGCAAGGATGAAGCCAGTGGGGGACGGTGCTGTCTCTCACTTGGACGGGGTGTGATGGGCACGGGGATGGTCCCCCCCCGCGGGTGAGGAGTGGCAGCTTGTGGCTCTGCGGCTCCTTATCGCATCAGCTGGTGGGAATTAATGAGCTTTTCCCCCTGGACTGGGCTGAGATCCCAAATCCTGCAGAGTCCCTGTAAATTGCAGAAATGCCTGGGCTGACAAGAAGGAGGAGCAGGGGGATGGTGGGGGCCGGGGGGTGCGTGTTGGCAGGTCTGAGGGCCATGGAGAAAATGGAGGTTCTTCAGATGGTTAATCCCTGTTTTGGTGATCTGGCATGGGGTCTTTGGTTGGTTTATGGTGTAGCTTGTCCCCATAGGACCACGCTGGGCTGGTTTCAACCCATGTGGGGTGCTCTCATGCTGCTGGCTGGCCTCCCAGAGAGCCTGGCACCCATTACGACCCTACTGTGGGATGGTGACATCCATGGTGCTCCAGGGACACCACCTCCCCAGTTTGTTCTCCTCCATCCAGGCTTTCAGCATTAAACAGGGGTTGTGGGGATAAGTTTAGGTCATGGGGATGTGCTGGGGACACCATCTCCAGCATTGAGCTGGGACCATGGGAGTGAGGTTGGGTGATGGTGACATGCCTGCAGCTTTGCAGGAGCAACCAGCCACTCCTCACCTTAACGTCTCTCCTGCTTGTTGCCAGCAGGTATCCAAGTCCCCTGCTGGGAAAGAGGAGCCCAGGCATGCACCAGTGGCTGGTGGGGGACACATGGCCCGTGTGGGAAAGGAAGCCATCACCGTCACACTCCATGGTGCCAGCAACCTGCCGGCCACACGGGACGGCCAGGTGCCATGGCCATATGTTGTCATGTGAGTACTAAGCATCTGCAAAGGGGGACAACAGAGATCATGGGGACACAATGAAAGGGTTTAGGAGCTGTCACACTGTTATTAACTCTTTGCATGGCCTGGGGACAGTGGAAACCTCTTCCGCAGTGACATTCACAAACACCATGTCAGTGGGATGCTCAGTACAGGGAGAGGTGCCCGGACTCCTGACTGAGATGGGGGAAGGCAGGGGATGGGGTGATTTGACTCGCTGGAGCATCAGGAAGAAAGCATTCCTAATATTGAAAGTATAAAATGATGTCAAAGAATCCACAGGGTAATGCTGCCTGGGTTTCGAGAAGATATCACAATAAATAAAAGAGTGTTTTAATAAATAAAAAGGATGCTTGGGTAAGGAGAACGTGGCTCCTCATGTATTATTCATGTGCCAGGGGACTCAATTAGCCGGTCATGCTTTGGTCTGTATTAAGAGGGAGGCTGCTCCGCTCGGCACTGCTGCGGGGTGAACCTGCGATCCCAAAGAGCTCTTCCAGGAGACAGAGAGGCTTTGGCATCGCTTCCCCGGAAAAGGGGAGAGAAAGCAGCTGTTGGTGACTTCGGAGCATCTCCTGTCTGTGGAGTTTTTTTTTCTCTGGGACATCTCCCCGGGGCAGTGCCGGGTAGGCTGGTACCCGAGTGGGTGCATCAATGACAGGGGACAGGGAAGAAGGGCTGGGGCTCATCCACCAGGGACAGTCAGCAGCTGGGACTGTGAAAGCCTGGAAACATCTTCTCTGCAAATGTGTAGAGCAAACTGTTGCTTGCTGGTCATTTTCCAATGTAGAAACCCTGAGCTCCGTGGTGAAGGCGGTCCCAAGGTCTGTGTGTGTCACAGTACGCCTCTTCTCCACCGTGCCTGCTCCCAGCCGTGGAGGCTCCCTGGGCAGGAGGGATGTGGCTCTCCATCATTGGGCTTTCATCATCTGGGGCTGGCTGGCACCTGCAGCCTGGTGGGAACAGGCTGGCATGTGGGCTGGCAGCCCAAATGTCTGCCCCTCCATCACCCCTTCCCCTCTTCCCCACCCACCCTGTGCCAAGGACCCGCTCTCTGCCCCGACAGCCTGAGTAACTCCACTGCAGGAGTTGTCTCTATTTCCATAAACCAATTATACACAGATAATCTCAGGAGATTTAAACATCAATATCCTAAATGATAGCACGAGGGTGGCGTGTGATTGTTGCATCTCTCTTTACATTCTGGTGCTGCTCCATCATCACATTGCCATGGTAACGGGGGAGTGATAGAGGGGAGGGGAGGGTGATATTAGGGATGCAGGACACATGAGGGGCCTTTTAGTAACCATAGTGAGGGAGCCAAGGCAGAAGGGAATCAGTTATTGTTTTTCAGGGCACTTGCTTTTGAAGGAGAGTAGCATGTTGCAGTTAAAAGGTGGGTTTTTATGGACGGGAAGGAGAAGCAGTCGGTGGATGTGCCGGTGGGGACCTGGTGGCAGTCGATCCCCCAAAGCAGCTGGGTACCACCAGCGGAGCCAGCCCAAACTCAAACTGACGGCACCCAGAGCATCATCCCCCAAAATCAGGAGTGGGATGGGAGGAGGGGAGCAGTACCACTCACACCAGTCCTTCGAGGCTGTCCCGGCGGCTCGTGCCCAGACTCAGGGTCCCACAGCACTCCATAGTTGTGTGCATCATTTCCAGCTCTCGGTGCAGAGGACTGGGGAGGTAAAGGCTTAGCAGAGTGGATCTGAAAGATGTCAAGCAGCAGGAGAGCCTGCACAGGCATCCTGATGGGCTTTGGTTGATCCCTGCTCTGGAAGGATGGGTCTTCTCCAGGGATGCTTCAGGGACCTGGCAGCAGCTTGGCTCTGCTCCTCATCCTCTGAATGTTGAGCAAATCTCCCCTCCCTGCTTTCAGGGGCACCCGTTGGTTTGCTCTGCATCTTCCTTTCACTCCCTCATGCGCACAGATAAATCGCCCCCGGACCGACGTGATGCAGGGATGACCTTGGCGTGCTGGAGCCAGGTGTGTTTGCAATTAACAGCACAAAGCGCCTGTCTCGGGCCAGCTTCTCCTCTCCATTGAGTACCGTGGGCAGGCGCAAGTGCCTCCTTGCTTCTTCCTTTCTGCTCTTTAGCACTGAGAGAAGAAACTCAAGGTCGCTGCTGAATGCGCCATCTGCTCCCAGCCTGGGGGATGGGGACTCCAATGTCCCCCTGCCTGCAAGTCTGCCTGCACAGGCAGCAGTCCTGGTTGTGGTACCATTGGGGTGCTCCACCTGGGAAGGGGTTAGGGTGTTCCTGCAAGCAAAGCGTTCTGGCTCTGCAATGTGCCCAAATATAAACCGAGGGGCTCAGCTGATAAGCCCAGAGCAAGGATGTGTGGGAAGGGGGACCACGTGGGGTCTTTGGGGATCCCCTCCTCACCCCAGCACCTGGATTAAGTCATGGTGGGATGAAGGTGGACTATCCCAGAGTTAGAGGGTCAGGAGCAATGTAAAAATGGGGTTTCTCAAAGGAGAGGGGAATTATAATTCTTCCTCTCATTCTAAATCTTTTCAGAAATTGCTCTTATACCTCTCTGATTTATTTATCTATATTTATTTACCCAAATGGCACCTGAGACCCCCAAGATCAGCACTGAGCACAGTGGGGCTGTGTGATGGGGGGGCAGCATCGCCTTCCCCAGGGCCAGATCCTGCAACTGCTGCAGAGGTAACACCCTTGATGTCGGTCCTGCAAACTGTGGCTGTGCTGCACAGGATTTTTATTCACCCAGAACTATGTACCTACACCACTACATTGCCTCTGTGGGGATGTCAGCCCTGAGAAATAACTCACCCTGTAGAGATACTAACTTACAATGCTGGATAAATAAATATTTACGAGGGCTGGGCACAGCCCTGCCAAGCCCTTTGCCGGGCATCTGGGAGTCACACGCAGTGGGGAGGCTGCAAGATCCTGTCCCCAAGCACTGTAGCTGAGATGCTGATGTATAATAACTCCCCGGGGGTGGCCGTCTTTATCTTTTATCTTTATCTTTTATCACAGCAGTGGGTGGCTGGTGCATCCCCGCACAGCAGAGCGAAGCGCTTGCCCTGGAGCAGGCAGGGAGGGATGCAGAGCACCAGAGGAGCATCTCTCGGTCCATCCCAGCCATGTCCTGCCCCAAGGCATGCGATCCCCAGGGCAGCTGTCTGTCTGCTTGCTGGAGACCCCATCTCCTGCCCCACCAGCAGGTCTGGAGCTGGCTGGAGTGAGGAGGAGACATCAAACCATCTCTGCTCTCCACCGTTCCTGCTGCCCCCGGCCTGTTCATTTGATTTTGAAGCACATCCCCATGTGTTGTACTGTTGTGGGTTGTTTCCTCCCCCCCCTCCCTCCCCACTTCACAGCTCTTTTTGAATGCTCTCTCATCCTTAGGCAAGTCTATAATGAAGGGGGCCCAGAGCAGCCTGTTCTCACCCTCCTCCTCCTCCCACCCCCCCAGCCCAGGTCTGGCTTCATTCGGACTCCAAGCACGTTGCTGGTAGAGCAATCCCCCACAGAGCTCATTACTGGAGAGCCGATTTTCTTCCAGCCCCTCCACAACGGTGCCAGCCCAATGCAAATTCCCACCTGGCAGAGCTGGCTGGCTCAGCTTCATTCCTGTGGGATGCAGGTGGGCTTCTTTGGTGGGGAAGGGGACACGTGGGAGATGGGAGAGGAGCATGGGACGTGGATGCAGCGTGACTGAGGGTCTGTTAGACCTGTGTCTTCAGCAACAAGAGGGGATGGAGGTTTTGCAAGCATAGAGCATCCTCCCATCTGTCTGAGATGAACTTGCTTGGTCCCACCACTACCTGGAGCTCACCTTACAGCTGGAAGGACCTTTATCATCTCCTTTCCCCCAGAGCAGAGGTCTCCAGCTCCCAGGGTGTGGCAAAGTGCCACCATCTGCTCCATCACCACAGTGACTGATGTAAGCTCTCCCTAAGAGCCGTGTTGGCTCTGCTCCAGCAAAAGCTTTCCTGGAGGAGCCAGCACTGGACATTTTATCATCTTAATATCCAGAGCAACCTGTTGACAGGGCTGGAACACGTGTGTCATGCTGGCCTGGCGCCACGTCACTGTCCCCCTTCACCCCATAGTCAGGGATGGAGATGACTTGAGGTCACCATGTCACCCGGTGGTGGGACTCTGCTGTGGTCTTGGGATTCCCAGGACAACACCAAGTGTCTTGCTGGACAGTGGAGACCCCCTAAAAGATCTGCCAGACTCTCTAATAAGGGGGGGCATTATTATAATTAGCCAAGCTCATGAGTAATTGATGATCAATAGATAAAAGTGGGAGGAACAATCCCAAAACAGCACTGATGGTGATGGCCCTGCACCAGTGCAGATGAAGAATTATCCGGGGCCCATAGTCACTAACGCCACTGTAATTATTGCTCAGCCCTGTTATGTGCTGAGTTTAATGATGGCGGTCGTTAACATTCAATCTTCTCTCTCATTTCCCAGCAACCTCCTCCCTGTTCCTTCATCAATACAACTGGCTAATTAGCCTCTGGGGTCTGAAACAGCCTTTCGGATAAAAGGATCTGCAAACCCCATCACTGGGGGCTCGGTAGAATCTTATGGCCTGGAGTAAAACCATCCCTGGACCCCCAGCGCAGCCCCCTCAGAGCAGGGGTAGGGTAGTTAAGGGTGGTGGGAGGGGGCTGGCCACTGTTAGCTGCACTGAGCAGGTACGGTGCTCATCCCTCCCCCAGGCCCAGCTCCCTGCTGACACATTCCTCTCTGTCACCCAGTAACCAGCCTGTTTTGCCTCTCTTTTCCTCCCAGTAAGACCAGCAGAGGGGCTGAGCAGAAGCTGGAGGCGACCCATGCATCCTCGGTGCCCACACACCCACCTGGGAGGAAGAGGTGACAGTGGAAATGGATGCTGAAGATGCGGGCTGGGCAGGTGAGAGCATCAGGGGACTGTGGGGACAGGGATGCCGGGGACTGGGACACAGGTCTCACCTCATCGCGGGGTTAATTTTGGGATATTACAGAACCTGTGCTCCAAAGGACCCCACACAGCACCCAGGCAGAGGGTGGCCACGGACAAGCCGTGCCCTGAGCCCTGTGTGGCTGTGGTGGCTTCAGGGCAGGACCAGGAGGGACATGCCACCAGATAGGTGCTGCAGGGTGGAGGAAGTGACGGTGCCGAGCTCCAGGCGTCCTCCAAAGCATCCCATGTGAACTGGCATAGGAGGAGAGCACCCCAAATCTTTCCCTGCTGCCATCCTGACACTAACACTTTGTATCAATCAGTTGGACCCACATCATGGTGCTGTTACTCCCCGTGCAGGGCTGCTAAGTCTGTTATTGTAATAAAACTCATGGTATTAGGGTCTGGGATTTGATTATAATCAAACCCTTGCAAAACAAACTGTGGGAGCTAATCTTCACATCATGCCTAATCCCATTAGGGCCTGACCTAAATGAATTTCAGGAGTTTTTGATGTAGTCTGAACCTGCCCCATGTGGTACTGGGAGAGATGTGAGGAGACCTCCAGCCCCGCTCATCCGCCTCCCAGCATCCCCCAGATGTTCAGAGGTGTTCATCCCCCTGATGTTCAGACCAGAGCTGTCCTTTCCAGGTGGAGCTCGCACTTTTTTTTGCCCAGAAATACAGTTTCCATCCTTTTCTCACCCAGCAATACAGTTTCCATCAGCAGGGCTGCCGAGTGTGATCTATCACCAGTGATAACTAGCAGAAAAGACACTTGTCTCTTGCTTGACCCCACAACGTTTTCTCTTGTGCTATTTCCACAAGGAGCTGGAACAAAAAGAAAATCTCCGTGGAAATTGAGCAATTGCTGAAAAGCACAAGCTCAGGAAAGCATGGTCCATGTACTTTCCTGGTCCATCGTCTTCATTCTGGGGACATGCACAACCTGTGGCATCACCAGGTTGGCCAAGCAGGAGTTAAGACGGGTGCCTCGGCACAGTCATTAAGCTGGGGGAAGGGAAGCCCAAGTCTTGATGGCAGCATAAAGAGAGGGCGGTTTTCCTTTCCATCAGCTCCTTTTTTTTTTTTTTTTTTTTTTTTTATAAAAGGCTCCTGCTCGTGCTTGTCAACTAAATTGCAGCTTTGCTTTAAACTAAGGGAAGAGCTGGGGCTGCCAGCACCCGTGGGGGTGATGCTGCCATGCTGAGGGGACAGATGGTAACCAGACGTCCCCAAGAGGGCTGATGCCATGGTGGCAAGTGTCTGCAAAACCAAGCTGTGGGCTGTGGGCTAACCCTGGGACAGGGACGGCTCAGGGCAGGATCACACCTTGAGAGCTGAGCAGGGTGGGCTGGAGCCAGGGAGGTGGATTAGGTGGGTCAGTGGGAAATCCTGGCTTCTTGAATGGGAATCTGAACAGTGTTGGTGCCAGTTGTTCACAGGCTTCGTTTTCCTGGGGATGCCTAGGACCTGCTCTCGATGGCTGCTTGGTATGCACGTGTGTGTGTGCATATAAACCCAGGAGGGTGTGAATCCTGCACCTGTCCATCCCACCATGGCCTGCGAGGGGAAAGGGTTGCTGAAAATGCATCAATCCCCCCATCACCTCTGTCCCTTTTTCAGCCAGACCTTCCCCAAACCTCTCCCCATCTCTTTGCCTGCTCTCATCCCTTCCAGCCCTGACTCTCACCGTGGCAGACAAAGCCACCAAGGAGGCACTGGGGACCTTCCAGCTGCCGGTGCGGCACCTCCAGCCCTTCCAGCCCTACCATTGCAGGCTGGTGCTGGTAGGTACAGCTCCTGCCCCTCGTTTCTGCTGTTTATTCCTGCACATAAACTCTAATTTTCAGCTCAGCTGTAGTTGGGGGTTGTGGGAAAAGGGACCCTTGTGTAATGTCGTAGTCCTCGTGGGAAACCTGAATTTGGCAACCTTGAGAAGGTGCTCAAAGAGGCTTGTGAGCAAAGAGCTGCCCGGGCTTCCTGCGAGGTAGGAACAAGGCAGGCGTTGTGCTGGGCTTTTTAAATCTCCGTTAAGAAAATGTGGAGGAAAAGTAATGAAATTGTAAGCTTTTGCCCTCAATATCCTGGGGAAGGAGATGCGGAGCCAGGCCACACATCAGAGTGTTTGTTAAACAGGGACCACAGTTCATTAATTGCTGCAGGCAGGTACCCAGCCATAGAGAAGCTGCTTCCCAAGGCCCTTGGTGGGGATTCCTCTGTCCCAACCTGTTGACAGTCCCAGGGACTGGGCTGACAGCTCCCTGTACAGATGAGACCTGGCAAACTCTCTCAGTACTTCTCCCAAATCAGCCTCCCCTATGCTCTGACTGGCAGAAATGTGTTTCCTCTTCCCTGCACAGAGACTGGGAGTGATTAAATATTTAAATTCAGAAGGATTTATTATATTGATCTTTTCTGGGAAGGCTCCAGGGAACAGTGAGCTTTAATTATTAGTTGGTGCTTTATTGTCAGTGATGGGCTCTCTGCACACCCAGCGCGTGTGTGGTGGCCTTGACCCTTCCTCTTCCCACGGTTTGCTCTCCTTTGCAAACAGCCAAGGACACAGGACCCTGCGGGGACAGTCCTGCACGTCACCATCATCCGCAAAAGAAGCTTCATCCCTCGCTGCGATGGGTTGAGCTACGTGGCCTTGGAGGTGAGAGGCAGCCCTGGGGACAGGAGGTGACAGGGGGATTTGAAGGGTCCTGGATGGGCCAGAGTCAACCCAGGGAGGATGCTGCTGCACCTTGTCTCCTGCTCTGGCAGCTGTTGATGCTGATTTAGGGCAGTTGTTTTTTCCCCCCACATTTGCTGACCGCTCACCTTGGACACCTCCACCTCCCAGGTGCTGCTGCAGGGGCTGTCCGCCCCACTGGCTACCCCCACTGGTGCCCTTGTTGCTGTGGCCAGAGTTGTGACCAATGTTCAGGAGTACAAGTGAGTGGTGGCCATGGGCTGCTGGTGACATGGGTGGGGGTTGCTGGGCTTCGGACAACCTGAGCGTCCCTGGTGCCATTGCAGTGCTTGGCTTGGATGTGGCCCCACACGTGCTGACTCTCCTCCTTTTCATCACTTCTCAGGCGCCGCATGGAGAAACATCCCATCTACTGTCTTGGCATCAGCCCCACCACCATCACATCCCCAGACCCTCCGGCAGCAGCCTTCAGCATTGCCCGAGCTGCCAATCATGGCTACCCGCAGGTACGAGGCCGAGCACACCTGCAGGAATGCGTGGGTCCAGCAGCATCCATCCCAGCTGGGTACTGACCAGCATCCCTCCCTCGGCAGGGGAGCTGAGCACCCCATGCAGGGAAAAGCTTTAGGGTCAAAGCAATGCTCTGAGCATCAAAGACACGGTCCCCACATCCACCTTCCCCTGCCTGCAGAAACCCACAGGCAGCTTCTCGAGTTGTGCCTTTGTCGTTCATCTTTTTCCCCTGCTCCGCTCACGCCTACAGCTTGAGTGCTGCCTCTCGAAGGCAGAGACCTTCTCCTCCCAGGGCCTCAAGTACCGCCGGGCAAGCTAGCGACGCACATCTTCAAAATAGCTGTTGCCAGGGAAACATATGCTTTCGGCACGCGGCATCATCGGCAAGCAGGAGGAGGGCCTGCTTTTGTTCCTGAGCCCTGCCAAAAATTGGCAGGGAGGGAGAGGCAGGGCGCTGGAGGGGTGGTGGGGCAGGGAGGAGGTATGATGGAGCAGCCAAGCCAGAAGCCAGCGTGAAGCTGGCACCCCTCAAAACCAGAGCAGCTCCATCCCTTCACCTCTGAAAAGTGCCAGCCAAAAGCGTGGTGAGGGTGGATGTCCAGCTGCCCCAAAAAGATGGATCCAGCTGGTCCCAAACACCGGCAGAGTGCGTGTTTCTCCATCTCAGTCCTTCTCCCCCATGTGTTGAATTTTGATTGTCTTGGAGCAAAACACCCTGTATCAACACGTTTGGGGAGCCCATAAATAAAATATTACTTAGAGAAGGCCGGCCAAATGCCAAGTCGCCCACGAGGCGGTGAATTATCATAAAAATTGCTGGTGCATTTCATTCATTACAATAATTGCTGTTTTATTCCCCCACACACCCCCCTCCCCTTCCTTAGTTGCTCTTTGCAGGTGAGAGGCGAGAGAAGTGCCGGGGACCCTCTGCTTTGGGTCTGCACCTGCTTTGGGTTCCCCTGGAAGCAACACCCCCAGCCCCACCATGGCAATCGGTTTGGGGTCGGTCCAGGCTGCCCACACTGACTCCAGAGCAGATATTAGGAAAGAAATCCCCGTGCACTTGCCCTCAAGTTCTTGTTCTTTCCCCCATCTCTTTGCTCCAGAATGCAGCACCCTGAGGCTGAGGTTTCCCAGACAGAGTAGGAATATTTCTCTCCTCTAAATGAAGCCAAAATGCATTTCCTTTGGATTTATATGGATAAATACACACAAACCCTGGTGAAGGTGTGGTACCCAGGCACTGGGCGAGACCAAGCCAAGACCCACAGCCCCGGCACAGGCGGCAGTGCCAGCACGGAGCCGTGGGAGCCCAACGCGGGAGGATGAGTGATTAAACCCGGCCATCTGGCCTGCATGTGTGCTGCTGCCTCCTTCACCTCCTCCTCCCCTCCGTGCCCACATGTCTCTGTCTGTCTTTGCATGTCGCTGAGGATGCTTTCCCCAGGGATGCACGAACAGGTTGCCCCGGGGTGCTGAGTAACCCCCATCCGCTCTCTCCCTCATCTCCTACCTCAGTTTCCCCACCTCTCTGCATGGTTCCTTCCTGGGGAGGATGAACTCCTAACGCCTGGAAGGAAAGGTTAGGGGAAGGCTGGGAGGAGGAGGAGGAGAGAGTGCGGCTGCTCCGGTTCCAGAGGTTAATGGCTTTCCCTGAGCAAACTGCTGGGCAGGCTAATCGGATTCGATAATTCTGCCAGCCCAGCATGTCCTCTCGCCTGTCGGTTCCCATCAGCGTCTGCAGACAACAGCGCTTGGGTTCACCTTCAGCAGGGCACCCCTCTTACTTAGGGGGTTTCTGGGTTCCCCGGTTGTTAACCCTTCCCTCTCTGGCCGGGAGTCCTGGACACGTGATCTTCCTGGCCAGGAGTTAGCTAAGGCCTGCACAGAGCTTCCCGCAAGAGCACTGGGTGCTCTCCTTGGACACTCTCCTTGGGCCAACAGCCCTTCTCTCACCAAAAGGGATGGGTTTGGACACACTGGTGGCAATGACAAATCCATGAGGTTGATGGGCACTGGGCTGTGCCTCCTACGGAAAGCCACGCTGTGTCTGTCCTCCCAGCAGCGAGCTCCATCCTTTGTGATGTTGGTCCCCTCTAAGAAAAATCTCCTTTTCGGCTCTTTCCCTTGGGCACCCTCCAGCTTAACCCACTTATCTGGAGCTTCTTGCTCTCTTCTAGAGTCTGCACCGCCCAGACAGACAGCCGTGAGGACCGGGGGATGTCCCAATCCCTTGGGAAAGCAGGAGAGATGCTATGGGCTTGGCCACCTCTACCACTGCTCACGTTAAGGTTGCTGCCTTTGTATGGAAGATGAGCTGGGGTAGCTGAGGAGGATGAAGGAGTCTTCCTCCTCCTCCTCCCTGTCCTCTTTGTTGTACTTCTCCAGGTGGCCCTGGGCATAGGCAGTTGTTGTGCCAAGACGTCTGCCCAGATCAGCGCATTGGCTCTGACGCCATGGCGCAGAGCATCCATCTGTCCCGCCGAGCCGGTGGGAGACAGCCCAACCCTGGCAAGTGCTCCTGCCCCCCACCCAGTCCCCAAAATCAGGGGGGGAAACTTGGAAGGTCATCTTCTATCCCTGTCCCTGTGAGAGGAGCCATGTGGGCTCGGGACCTCCTACAATTGGGGTCAAATTAACAATATGCTCCCACATTTGACTTTTCCCTTCCCTGCTGAGTCTAAACCGGCACGATCTCACAGTGCCTTGTACAGGTCGATGCCAGGAAAAGTAACTGGAGGCGGCATTTGGTGGTTTTTAGGAGCTTTTCCCCCCAAATTGGGCTTTCTGAGGCTGATGAAACAGCCCTGTGGGCTGGGATGCAGACTGGGAAAGCAGAGGAGCGGCTGGAGGGTGCTGAGCTGATGAGAGCTACTCCAGTCCGTGTGGGTTTTCCCTAACGACTTACAGGCACAGACTGGGTTCCCTGCAGTCAAAGCAAGCTGCATCCCAGCTAAAAATCCCAGCTGACGCTAGGGACACCCTGACAAATTCCCATCTGAGATCCAGCCTGGTGCTGAGCCAGCACTAACAGGGCTGCCCAGTGCAGCCCATGGTGGAGGTGTTTTGGGGCTCTGAAGCATCCCAGCCCCACACTCCCCTTGCTAACAGCCCACAGGGCTGGGTAATGCACCACTGAGGGTCTCTGAGGTGCATAATGCCCATTAGCATCCCCAAACAGGAGCAGAGGGAGACCCCCCCCGCTCTTCCTCCCACCCTCCCCAACGAAGCAGAAATGTGCTGATGCAGAAAAGCTGATCGGCATTTCATCCCCGCTGGGTGATGCTGGCCGAGGGGATGGAGTAACAGCATTAAAAAGGAGCTGCTGTCAATAATTTCTTGGTGCTGGGTAGCCAGTGTTAAGGCTGACCTTTTGAGAGCTAGTGGGGCTCTCTGAAGGTGAAGGGGAGCAGCTGCTGACAGGGATGGACCAATGCCATTTCCAGCGACAGATCACAACTCTGGGGATAAACATGTTGCCCACTGTTCGATATCAATCAGGTGACCTGGTGCTCATGCTTGGGAAAGGGTTTTGCATGATGTACGGACCCCAAAAGCCTGCTTGCAAGTTTTCGGGGTCCTTATATTGTTGCAAAATCCTTTCCCAAGCGTGAGCACCAGGTCACCTGATTGATAGATATCAAAAGGCTCACCCTGGAGCCAGCACAGCTCATCCTCCAGGATCTTCCCATCATGTTTTTTAGCATCGGATAGTTGAGCCATGTGCTGTTTTCTTCCTCTGGCTCTGCAAGGGGGAAGATGCTCTAAGGGATTAGTTAGAAAGAAGCAGCCAAGCTCGAAGACCATGAAAACCAGTTCAAGCAGCTGGGATTTGGGGTTGCTTTTGAACCAGAGATGGGATACATCTGCACAGGTTGTGCTTTTCTTTACCCCCACCTCTCCTCTCCCTCCTACTTGTTTGCTTATTTATCATTAGAGAGGGAAGGTATCTGCAGGATAATTTTCTTATCTCCTAAGATGTCCCAACCAGCTGGGCCCCCAGAGCAGCCGACCTGGGACACATCCTTCCTTTTCCAAGGCCAAGACGTGGCTACCATCTTCTCTGAAGACACCGCCCTGGCAATCGAATTTTATCCATACAAATCTAGTGAGTCTGGGGACCCCACTGAGGATGCTCTCCCTCATCCTCGGGTTTGGCCAGGGGCAGGTCCTGGGCTGCCATGCCCCCAGCCTGCTGCTCTCACCCCTTCCCCAGTGCGGGATGCTCCAGGAACCCTTGTTCCAGTGGGATACTCGGTGCTGCCCCTCACCAGCTGTGTTTTCCAGAAGCTGGCAGCGCAGAGCGGTGGGATGCGCGTGGATGGCCTTGCTGTGCAGGTGAGCCAGGGGCCGAGGGGGTGACACTGGGCAGGGTGGCACAGTGTTGGTACCTATAGGTGATGGTACCTATAGCTGTTGGCATGGTGGAAGGAATCTCCACATCTGGGTGGGCAGCCTGTTGCAGAGCTCCCAAGCATCTCATGGGAAGATGAACCGCAGCCCTGGACCTCTGGATGGCATCTGGTCAAAGCCAAGACCACCAGAGCCCTGGTAGAATACCAGAGGCCAGTGCGGGCTGTGACCCTTCCTCTGCCTCCCCAGGGCACGGACCTCAAAACCACGTCTGGGGCCATCCCGACTGTGGGGCTCTGCCTGCAGCTCCTTCGATTGGAGGTGAGACGCTGGGGATCGTGAACCCCAAGGCAAGGAGAGACAGGGATGGGGACAGGGCAGGAGATGGCTCTTTAGAGCTGCCACCCCCCTCTCCAAACCTCTCAGGTGGGGATCAGCTGGGCTGGATCTGGGTTTTATCCTTTGTGCCTGTTGTCTCGGGGCTCTGGATCATGCCCCTGAGCAGCTGGAAAAAGCAGCGTTGTTCTTGCCCTCGTGCATCCGTCGCTTTCCAAGGGCTTTTGGCACGTGCTCATATTCCCGGGAAATCCCGGCTGGAGGCAGGGGGGCAGGCAGGGCGCAGGCAGGGCGCAGGCAGGGTATTTTGGAGAAGCTGTTCACTGTCTCCGTGCAGAGAAGAGCCAGGCTGGTTAACCACGGTGACAAATGTCCAGCTGTCTTCATCCTTCAGTGCTTGTTGTCCCCAGGGATGTCACAGCAGGGAGGGAATTTGGCTGCTTTTCGTGGGGAGGAGGGAACCCTGCTTGTCCTTGGCTCCAGGACCAACCCTTGAGCAGGTTAGGATGCAGCCGTGAGCCTGATCGATGCAATTACTGAAGCCTCCAGCCTCTGCTCCCATCTGCAAAAAAACCTCCTACCCCAAAAGTGAATTTGGGACAGGTCTGGACGCTGCAGTGGCGACTGCATCCCCCCTATCCCCCGGGAGCTGCAGCGGGCCGGGGCTGGCTGGTGGGGGGCTTTGGAGAGATTGCCCAGGGGGGTCAGCGAAAAGGGGTCTGCGTGTGATGAATTATTCACATGGGTGTCACTAAGTGCAGAATTAATCCTTTTGCTTCCAGCTGGCTGCTGCACTAAATTATCACTCGCAGTCATGCGGGAAAATGCTGCGGAATTCATTTAGCTGATTATTGTTTTGATCTGGGAGCTGTATTTTCTTTCTCCTCTTCCCCAACCTCTCCCTTTCCCCCACTCCAGCCCTGCCTTCCTTAATATATGTAAGAGCTGGGAGTGGAAACAAAAAACAGGAGAGCCAGAGCCAGCCTTGGGCTCCTTGTCTGGTTAATTCATCCGGCAGCAGCCCAGGCAGACGGACCCGGAGCGATGCAAATCAATGGGTGAGCTGTGCCGAGCGGGGTGAGGGCATGTTCGGCTCTCTCGGCTTTGCCAAGCCCTTGTTTCTTGCCTGGAGGTCAGGGTTTTCTGAGGAAGATGCCCCAGCTGGCTGGCTGTGATCCCCAGCACCCCAAAACCGCAGCCCTGCGGGCAGGGGAGGTGTTGCCGCGGTTGCAGGGGAAGAGCCTTTCCTCTCCCCCTTCAGGCAGCCCCAGGCTTCAAGGGATGCTTGAAGTTTGGATTTCAAAGTCCTCAGCTCAGGGATTAGTGCTGAGCTCAGCTTCAGGACAGCAAGAAGGAGCCAAACAGTGTCCAGGAGTCAAAGGCAGTTAATACAGGACCTGAACAGACCCAGTGAGGCATTGGGGCAGCCTTCATATCAGGGTTGTCTTTGGGGTGCAAGGAGCCCCAGCATCCCTGCCCATCCTTGGGGTGTGAAGAGCCACAGCATCTCTGCCTGTCCCCGGGGTGCAAGGAGCCCCCTCATCCCTGCACATCCTTCCCCATGCTCCTTTACACCATAGTTCTCCTCAGCCAGATGGCAAAGGAGAACACTCACCGAGCTCATCTCGTTTCTTTTCTTATATATATTTTTATATATATATATATATTTAATTTTAACGTAGAGAGCTGAAAATGCATAACCTAGATTGGCTGGGCTTTTTATAACAAACAACAGCTAAATAAACCCTGGGCCATCTGTACTCCCCAGCGCACTCGGAGCTGGGCGTAAATCCCAGCTGCTTCGTGGCCTCTGCAGGGATTTCACCGACTCCTACCAGGGGTCTGGATGCTCCCGAGCTTGGCTTTCGATGCTCATGTCGACCCTCCGTGCTGGGAAAATGTCCTCAGCACCAGGGTTTTCTAGCGATAAGGGGCTCCCCATAAGTAGGACTCATGCCCCAGCATTTCTGCAGGGTCTCTAAACCCTGCTACATTTGTAATAGCCACAGGGAAAAGGTTTGGAGCAGCTGCTTTATTAAAAGCCCAGAGCCCCGACACCAGGGATGAGCAAACAGGAGTCGTGTTATTCCAGGGAAAGGGCAGTGCTGGGTTGCAGCCCTCCCCCCACCCCGGTGAAGACACCGAGACCCCCAGATTTGCCCCCACCCAGCTCGTTTCCCTTGTGCCTTCATCCCCCGGCGCTCTCTCTGGAGCCCAAACAGGAACAAAAGACTTTGATCATCGCAGGGAGACAAAGAAATCAAAGACTTCAGCAAAACGCTGGCGTTTTAGCAAATTAACGGCTGTCGGCTGTCGCTTGAAAACTGTTGCAGGGGGAAAACCTGCAGCTGACTTCATCCACCTCCGTACTGGCTTGTGGCTCAAGGCAGGGCTCCTGTTTCCTCTTCATTCTTCTTTTTCCACTCCAAATTTGGTGTCTTGCCCAGGAAAGATGAGTTTGACCATGCAGTAGCCAGTGGCAAATGCATGTGCAGGGTCCGCAGGATGTGTCCCCGATGTGCCAGGGGGATGCTAAGCCCCATCAGAGGGCTGGAAAATACACACCGGATGAATGTTTATTCCTGAAGGATTTATTCATCACCCCGGGTTCATTAACCAGCCCTGTTTTACATTTCATTTCGGCACGACACCACCTCGCTCAGCCCATTAACTCAGCACTTGGGACCTTCGGAGTCACCTCAAGCCTCTGCCACTCGCTTTGCTGAGCACCTTCGGTCACGTCACCTGAGATGGGTCTGGGGATGTGCTGGCACGTAGTGACAGCCTCTGAAAAAAGGGAAAAGCTAGTGCTGTTTTTTTCCAGGCAAGGAAAAAAAAATCAACAGGCTGGCTATATCATTGCTTAAACAGCCTTAATTTATGTAATTGCTGCCATTTAAAACCAGAAGCAGATCAGTGCCTGGCGTAAATTGTCACAGTGCCGGGGTGTAAATTGTCACTGTGCCAGCCCGGCAATCAAACCCCTTTTGAGCTGGCAAAAAAGTGAATTTACAATTGGTCGGGGAGTGTGGAATCGCCATGTGTTTCCCGTTATTTCAGCCTGTCTGGCCAGGTTTGTCCTCCACAAGCACTGAAATTGGGGTTTTATCCCCAAAAGACATTGCAGGGGATGTGGAAGCTGGTGAAAGGTTTGTTTTAGGGAAGCATCGCCCTTCTCTCCTGAGCATCCTCTCTCAGTGAGCCGGAAAACCCTCCGAGGGCTTTTGACACAGCTGAACTGCTGGCAGCTGAGCTCCTGCTTGCCAGCCCTTGATTGACACCTGTCAATCAAGCACATCACCCATTCCTCTTATTGCATGACGGATTACAAGAGGCGTTACGGCATCGCTGCCAGCCAGGAGCATTGTTAACTGGGGAGAGCCAAGCCAGCAAGGAACCAAAAAAACCCAAACCAACGGGGAATGTCTTTGTTAAGGAGAATTTGTTGGTTTCCGCCCGCCAGTCCCGGGGGAGTGTTCAGGGCTGCGCTAATTGAATTAAGAGCACGTGTGCTCCGGCGAGCAGCTCTCCGATGGGCAACGGTGGTGGGGCCGGGCTGGCCATCGCCGCAGCACAGCGTGCAGCAGCTGTACGCCGGCCTCGGTAATTGCAGGCAGAGCCTAAACTGTTGCATTTTGCATGATGCTATTCCGCAGGGAGGGGGAGAGTGGGGGGCATCTTCACCCTGGCTTTGATGCTGGAGGAGCTCGGTTGAGGTTGGGGCCGGTGGCGTAATGAAATGTGGCGGCACAGGGGACAATGATGCTGATGGTGTTAATGAGGCAGCGATGGGGAAGGGCACGGGGACGCCTCTGGATGCCTCTTCATCCCCCCGCTGTGGAGGGGGGGGGATGCTCACTGCCCTCGTTAGCCGCACTAACGAGGCGAGGCTGGGCGCAGGCACGGAGTAATACCCAGACAGGGCCACTTCGCCGCTGCCCATGCCCGCAGCCAATTTGGAGAGGGCGCCCAGCCTGACTGCTCAGCTTGCGAAGCCAAGAGAGCATCTGCGAGGTGGGGAGGGGACAGGGAGCCCAGGGTTTGCCAGGTCACGGCCGCCTGCTCTCAGGTGGTGAAATAGGTGGGTGCCAGGGTGCCATGCCTTGAAGTAAGGAATCCAGTGTCAAGGCAGGGCCCCATCACCCAACCCTCCCCCCATACTGGGAGCAGGGATGGCCAGGACAGGGCAAAGGTCCCAGTCTGTGACCTTGCCATCGCAAGCGGCAGCGAGGAGTGCACCGACTCCATCGTTTATTCCATTAGATCCGACTTGCCCCTCTAACTGGATTAGAGGGGAGTCTATAAAAGCCAGGCTGGCGGGAGGAGAGCAGGGTGCACAGAGCCGGGCGCGGGAAATGAGGGGCAGGGAAATCACATTACTGCTGCCGGCAGCATCTGGCAGGGGATCTGGCAGGGGCTGCCAGTGTGCAGGAGGCGTGTTACCTGACAAGCACCAAAGCCAGGAGCAGCGCCCAGTGGCACGGGGGCTTCCAGCATCCATTTGTGCCCACAGGACCCAGGTACCCGCCTCCTGCCTGCCCAGAGAAGGGGAGACATGGGCTGAGATGGGCACAGACCTGCTATTTCCATCACCACAGGATTCAGTGCGAAGGACTGCCTCCTCATTTTCCTCACCTTCTTGGTCCAGCACTGGCTCGCCCCAGGGACCCTCTCTCTGCCCAAAGTTTCCCTTGAGCCTTCCAAAGATGGGATGAGTGTGGCCATCCCACAGCTCTTTCTCATCACGCCAGTCCTGGTGGCATATTGGGGATGGTGGGACAGGGGACATGCAGTGAGGCGGCTCAGTCCAGGTGCCCCCTCCTTGCCCCTGTCACTGCATCCATCCATCCTAAGACCATTGCCTCTCCCTCCCCAGAGACCGGAGGCCTTCCTGACCCCATCGGGCTGCGATGCCCTCCCCAGCCTGCACCCTGCTGCCACCGACATGCTCGAGAGGGGTGAAGAGCTAGAGGCAGCTCCCTTGCACCCATTTTATTGCCAGGTAAGAACATATGAGAGTAGCTGGTGATGCCACATCAGCTCCCTGCCTGCTGCACCACCCTGCCAGCCTCCACAAAGGCAGGCACCCTGCCTTGTAACAGTGAAAAACTGGCAAAAATCCCCGGTTTTAATCTCTCTTCCAATGTATGCATTGCTGGGAGTGTCAGGTTTTATCTATAGCCTCATTGTACCAAAAATTTCTTGTGTTGTGCCTATGGAGGAGCCCTTCCATCAGTGCCCACACCCCTGGTCCCCACTGTTTTGGGGTGGCACGAGGGCTGGAGGGGGGACAGCATCCTGTCACCTTGCTGGGGGCAACACTAGGAGCCGCCTGGATGCACCATCTTCGATCTAATTGCTCAATCCCAAATCCATTTAGCAAATTCCCTCCTATTACTACTGCATTATGTTGGAGACCCCAGGCACCTCCAGCTCATACCTTTCGGCTCAGGGAAAAAAAAAAAAAAAAAAAAAAAAATTCTTA